TTATAAATAATATATGTATGTGTATATATATATATATATATATATATATATATATATATATATATATATATATATATATATTATATATATATATATATATATATATATATATATATATATATATATATATATATACATGCACTATGTATACATAATGTATACAGTGATGTTATATAATGTATATGTAACATCACTGTATACATTATGTATATAAGTGAGCTTAGCAAAAAAACGTTCTTTATCAAAGCTTTGCATGGTTTGTTTTTGTACATCCCGTAGGTTTTGACGACTTTTGGAATAAATGTATTTCCATGATTTAATTATTATTTATATTGCTACTATAAAAATAATATTAAAATGATTTGAACAATGTTATAGAAATTGTAAAAACTAAATTGAGAAAACACCGACACATAACACCTCTAAACCCTACAAAATTATATGTAAACGCAAAGTTTATTTTGATTGTTACAAACACTGCCTCGCTTTGAAGAATCTCCTTTCTCCGTCGCAGATATTTATGAAAAGGTCTATACACATGCATAAACTTTATTGCTATTATTTTAATTTTATTATTATTATTTTTTTATTCATTTATTTATTTTTATTTTTAATTTTATTATTATTATTACTTTTTATCCGATCCACTGACTGATCCACAGTCACATTCGTCGATTTTGGATTTGTTTTACATTCCTTTCGAAATATAACATAAGAGCTTTTAACTGCTTCCGAATTCTGCAGATTGTATTGTGCATAGCATGCCACTTTGTTTGGTTTGGCTTTAGAATGAAATGTTCTGGACATTCTGAGTATTCTTGTAAATCTTTGAATTCAACCCTCCTACTAGTGCTGAGGGTAATCTTTTTTTTTTTTTTAATTATATATTTTTAAGACTACATAGTATTTACAAGTTTTTACAATACATAATATATTACAACAAATACATTCAAAAAAAATACTTCTTATATAACTAGAGACATCAAAATACTTGAGATATATTTGAGGTAAGGAAATTAAAGTAGTATTACTAACTGTATTGTGAAAAAGAAACGGGATAAAAATAAGTTAGCTTAAATTTTGTAGTTAGGGGGAAACTCGCAGAAAACTTTTTTACATTATTATTTTTATAATAAATTAAAATATTTCCATGTAATTGTTTATTTCAGAATGTGTTTTTTTATTTGGTTTTTAAGAAATTAATATTTTCTACAAGAAATACTGGTGAATTTTTTGGAATTAATTTGTTATATAAGAAAGGACCACAATAAATTGCAGAAAATTGGGAGAGTTTTTGTTTTTTCATAGGCACAATATAGTTTCCAGTTGCTCTAGTACTAAATTTATTTATATTAGTATTAAAAAAGTTGTTTTTGAATCGACTTGGGACGATTCCCATTCTATATTCGCAGGTATGGGGGAGGGGGGTTTCCCAAAAGCGTACGAACGCGCACAAGGAGGAGGGGGAGGGGTGTTAAACATAGTGAGTACGTACACGGTTGACTATATCTCATAAATTTGATTTTATATTTTTTTAAACATTGAATTTCACGTGTGTAACAAATCAGTGTTGATTTTTTTCTCTGACGTCACAATTTTTTTTCATTAATCTCTATAATCAATGAGGATAAAAAAAAATCGAATTCATTTAATAAAAAAAATTATGCGTACGTACGCAGAGGGGGAGGGGGCAGCGAAAGCGTACATGTTCGTACAAGGGGGAAGGGGGAGTCCTAAATCAGTGGTTTTAATGCGTACGTACTTTATGGATGCCCCCCAAGATAAGTTCTCATAGATAAGTGCACTAAGAAATTTAGATGAATGAGTTCATTCAATAATTGAGTCGTCTATGCTGAGAACAGGTAATGTTGATGGTAATGATTTTTTTTTATTGGTGGGGTGAAATAAAATGTATTTAGCTTTGTTTGAATTTAATGACAACTTATTAGCTCTGAACCATGAATTAAGTTTTTGTAGTTCTAAATTTACGCTTAAAAAGAGGTCTTTGATAGAATTTGAAGAATAAAACATATTGGTATCATCTGCAAATATTATGAAATCTTATTTGGATGAGACATCAAGAAGGTCGTTAATGTAGATTAGGAATAGAAGAGGAGCTAAAATAGATCCCTGAGGGACACCACATTTTATTTGTAACTGCTTTGAATTGTTAATGTGATCCATAATAACATATTGTTGTCTATTATGTAGATAGTTTGAGAACCATTTTACGGTTTGATTTTTAATGCCATACTTTTCCATTTTTTTCAGTAGTATTGTATGGTCTACTGTGTATTTTTCATTTATACACTGCTATCTATCATCTAATAAGTGGGTCGTACAAAGTAATTGTACAACACTCACATACTAGATCTTCTAGCTTCTTTGGGAGTTTTAAGAAGGCTTTGGAAAAACTCACATCAATACTATGGCAGAATGATTTTACAGTTAACAAATGAGGGGCGACTGTTTTCAAATGGATGTAGACTGAGTTGTGTGCACCGAACATAGTGCTGATTTCATGATTTTGTAAAATAACTAACGTAAAATCCGTCAATGACTTAGCAGTTCTGTCTTGAACCTCCTAAAAGTAGCTGGACATAAAATATGTTGGAGTTTGTACGAAAAAACATTTCGTACAAACTCGACAATACTTTATAAAGCTACCGATTTATTGTCTTGCGCATGACATATTATTTGCATGGCCTGTTGATAACATTTTCACTAGGGTACCAGTTCATCGACCAAGAATAAAGTCAAATTGTACTCTGTAATGGAAATGACCACTCTATATAATAACTTCACTACAGCCGTATCACTGTTGCATCCCTAATAGCTAGCAATTGATTTTGCCTTTGGTCATTTTACGGTAAACGGCCTACTTTAACGGTTTGTTTGGCTACATGTTTTGCAATACATCCATTTTACTATTCTTCTTATTTTTCTTTCTTAGATATATTTTTAATTTCTCTGCGTTCAGCTAGTTGCCTAAAAAATATGGAAGGTTTACAAAAAATGAAATAAAAATATAATTTTATATTTGCTCTACTTTTTTCTTTTTTTTTGATGCCGGCTCATCAAAGTTATCGCATATAGCAATATCTAAATCAGAATAAGACGGCTTTATTGACTACGTTGTCGCATAGATGTTACTTTATTTTGTTAATATTGTTTTAACTTATGCTTGAGATTTAAAATTTGTCTACTTTATTACTATTTTTGACAATATTACTATTATTGAAAATAATTACAATCATCATTAAAACGTTCAAGAAATACAATATATAATATACTAAGTTGATAATTCTGAAAAATTACAATAGTCATTAAAACACACACGTAAATTACTACGTGTAACTAATGCGTTTATCGTCGTGACTACTAGCTTAATGTAAATTCATAAATTTCACAGTAGTAAAAAATCGAGTTATACAGTAAATTCAAAAATTTGTGTAAATACTATTATTCCAAGTAATTTTATTTTCAAAATAAAAAAATCTTACAAAAATTATGAAATCTTAGATAAAATCAAAAATCATATGTCTCAAAAAGAGGTCGAAAATTTTTACAAAGTATAATAAATCACGCGAAGTGGAAACACTGCTCTTTACCAGCATCAGAAACACATAGCTTGCCTAATTTATTTTGCAAACCGCTTTTTTCAAAAGCCTTAAATGTATACTAACTGTTTAAACATGTACAAAGGAGGAGGGGGGGGGATGACATGCGAGCCTCAAAAAATTTTATCCATAAATATTTTATTCGGACCATCAATTAAGGAAAAGCAATTTTTAGATTTTTTCAGCAATCCCATAAATCATATAAATTTAAAGATTTTTGTTTGAATATTATAATTGTCTGGCAAAATTTTTGATTTTTTTACAATTATAAAAAAAATAATACAGTGGTAATACAATTTGTGATTAATTTGCTTAAGTTAGACAAAATTGGCAAGTTAGCGAAGTAAGATACAAACCGCCAGTTTTTCTTTTTTTAAATGTTACTTTTTAAACAACTCTTTCATAAAAAAACTGTGTTTAATTCAGCCAATTCAATCTTATTAGATGAGCTACAAAATAATCCAGCTTTAACCATTTTTGATTTATCGCAGCGTGGTTGATCTTTTTTTCGTCCTGTAGATCAAAAAACTGTTCCTAAACTAAACTTGAAAAACTCTTCCTAAATTAAACTTAAAAAAATCTTCCTAAACAAAACTTGAAAATTAAAATAAAAATTATAGTTATATAATTTTTTATTGTAACCAAATAATGAGTTTATTGATAAAAAATCCTCGTCCTTGTTGGCCGACATTTGCTGACTGCCAACTATAGATCCAATTTTGCCAACTCCAGTGAACAATTTACCGACTAATAAAATTCGTAGGGGGCTAGACAACCCCCCTCGGGCTGGCCCTACCTAAGTAACGCAGTTCAACACCCAAAATAACAAGTTAAACACCCTAAATAACACAGTTCAAAAATAATTTTTATTGATACAGCTTTACTTGCTTTGTTTCAGATGTTGATAAAAATATTCTTGAAAAAATGTAAATTCATACAACTAAAAAAAGTATATCTTTAGCTTAAAAAATTTATCGTGTAGTGACGATGATACGCACACACCAACAATAATATATTGTATACAAAGAAAATGAAATCAAATAAAAACATCACACAATTTTTGCATGTATTATCAAAATTAATGCTCTCAGGTTCCAAATTTTCCACTTCTTGGATCTTTTTGAAACTCCCCACCCTTTACTAATTTTGTAGCTTTTTAAAATCCCCTTTTGTATTAATTTTCCCGTTTATTTGGCACTCGAGAGTATCTATGCAAAATAATAATAATAATAATAATAATAATAATAATAATAATAATAACAATAATGATAAACTTTATAAAATAAAGCATTTAGAATAAATGTATTAATATTATTTAAAAAATCAACTAAATTACTAAAAGATTTATATAAATCAAAAATTCTAATAAAAAAATACTTATCTAATTTCAACTTTATTAATAAATAATTTAGTAATGAATTGAAATAACATTTCCAAGAGAAGGAAAAATCTCTCCTTGGATTACTCCATAATTTACTTCTTCTCCGTCTACTGCAATATGACCAATTCTGTCAGGAGATGGCGTTATTCGAAATGCTGTTATATTTTTTGTTTGAAGTTCTGGCATACTAAGATGGTTTCCATCTTCTATTTTAATAAACATTTTTACAATATTACGTTTACTTATCCCACTCATAACAAATTGAGCACACATGCGACCATCATTAATTAATGACCCAGGAGAACTATGAAGATTTAACCCTAAATGCGAGGTTAAATTAATATTTAGCATAATAAATTCGCCTTCAATTGTTTTCCAGTTACCAGGAACTTGTGAATTCAGAGGTGAAAGGGAACTTGAAGGACCGTAAGAACCAGATTTATTTATGCATGTTATACCATTTGTCTCATTTATAACACTTCTTTCAATATCACATGTTTCAGTGTCCGATTCAGTAGCTATGACGCCTTGCTCACAAATATTTTCATCAAATTCTAAATATTCAAATTTTCCGCTATATTGTCTCAATGAACAAACTCTCTCTATAAATCCAACAGTAAATCTTGTACCACCCATAAACCTGTATTTTTCAGATTCGATATCTATGTCTGATGCCATTCCCCAAGTAACACTAAGAAATCCGTATCGTTTCTCTTTTTCTGTTTGTATTAAAAATAAATCCAAAGGGTGAGACTTTCCTTTGAGTAATATAAAAACTGAACTTGAGACTTCAAAAGCTTCTCTAAAAAACAAGAACATCAATTAATCATTATTATGATCATGTTCATGATCATAAACAGGATCATAATGATAATTATGATCATCGTTATAATAACAATGATCATTATGATCATGATGATAATGGTCATTATATATATATATATAAATACATATGTATATATATATATATATATATATATATATATATATATATATATATATATATATATATATATATATATATGTGTATATATATATATATATATATATATATATATATATATATAAAGTATATATATATATATATATATATATATAAATATAAATAATATACATACATATATATATATATATATATATATAAATATAAATAATATACATATATATATATATATATATATATATATATATATATATATATATATATATATATATATATATATATATATATATATATATATATGTGTATATGTGTATATATATATATATATATACATATATATATATATATATATATATATATATATATATATATATATATATATATATATATATATATATATATATATATATATATATACATATATATATATAAATATTTCCAATACCTCAGAGATACCAAAAGATTTCATTATAGAACCCATATTTGCTTAATTTGCTGATGATGCAACAATATATTCTAGTCTTGATTGTAAATTATCGCATTTTAATAGTTTTAAACAGGTAGCCAACTTTGAAGAAAATCTCTCTTTAGTGGTTGCTTGGAGTTTGCATTGTTTAGTGAATTTCAATTTATCTTAGTAATTACTATTTTAGTAATTTAAGTATTAAAAATTTTGGCACAATGATGGTGAACACAGTCACATGGTTGGATTTGGGGTAAACTTACGCATCAATTAACCTATTTGTCAAGAAATCAGGTTCAAATCCTTTAAACATTTTTTTATGTGCTTCTGCTCAACACCTGAACAGTCAAACACCTAAACACTCAATATCATCTCTTGATTCCATTAGTTGCGTTCTACCTGATATAGCCGTCAAACAGGTTGATCCATTGCTCGACATCCGTATCACTCCAGCTTCTGTATCTAATGTGATTTCCTGCTTAGACTCTTCTACAGCTTGCAGCCCGGATAACATATCCGTAATAGTCTTGCAGAAGTGTTCTCCGGAGCTGTCGTCTATCCTTTCAAAACTATTTAACAAGTGCTTATCAGAGTCTTGTTTTCCAGCCTGCTGAAAAGCAGCATCTGTTATCCCTATTTTTAAAAATTCTGGAAAGCGATCCGATTCGTCTAACTACCGTCCCAGTAGTCTTCTTCCTATCATAAGCAAGGTTTTTGAATCTTTAATTAACAAACACTTAATCTCTCATCTCGAATCTCATAACCTACTTTCTGATCATCGATATGGATCTAGTTCTACGGCTGATTTGCTATCAGTAATAACCGATAGGTTTTATCGCGCATTAGATAAAGGTGGAGAGGTAAAGGCCATCGCTCTTGACATTTTAAAGCGTTTGATAAAGTTTGGCATGCTGGTCTTCTCCATAAGCTTTCTTGTTACGGTGTATCTGGAAACACCTTTAAGATTATTGAATCGTTCCTTTCCAATCGTAGTATAAAAGTTGTCCTCGATGGATAGCACTCTTCTGCTTATTCTGTAACCTCAGGGGTTCCTCAAGGTTCAATCCTTGGCCCTATACTTTTTTAATTTACATTAACAATCTTGAAGATATTCTCACATCTAAAATGGCATTGTTTGCTGATGATACTACCATTTATTCTTGTCACGATAAGAAGACAACTCCCGCTGATTGCTTGCAGGAGGCATCTGAGCTTGAAAAGGATCTCACTTCTGCTACAACATGGGGCTCAGAGTGGCTGGTGAACTTTAATTCAGATAAAACTCAATTTTTTTCAGCCAATCGTTATCGCAATAATTTAGACCTTCCTATATTTATGAACGGTAATGTACTCGATAAGTCTCCTACCTTTCATCTTCTAGGATTAACTCTTACTTCTGATCTTTTTTGGAAACCCTATATCAAATCCGTTGCAAAATTAGCATCTGCTAAAGTTGCTTCTCTTTATCGAGCTCGACACTTTTTTACTCTGGATTCTATTCTCTATCTCTACAAATCTCAAATCCGGCCTTGTATGGAATACTGTTGCCATATTTGGGGCGGAACCTCTAATGATGTTCTTTCTCTTTTAGACAAGGTGCAAAAACGCATTGTAAACATAGTTGGACCTGCTCTTGCAGCCAACCTTCAACCTCTGTCACATCGTCGTAATGTTGCTTCTCTTTCTCTTTTCTACAAATACTATAATGGGCACTGCTCTAAAGAGCTATCGTCTCTTGTGCCATCTACTAAAATTCATTCTCATGTTACTCGTCATTCAATTAAGCCTTATCCTTTTTCTGTTACTGTTCTTAAGTGCTCAAAAAACTCTTATTCGTCTAGTTTTTTTCCTCGAACATCAGTTCTTTGGAATTCGCTTCCTTCATCTTGCTTTCCTGATTTATATAATTTGCAATCTTTTAAATCGTCTGTCAATCGTTATCTTGTCTACAATCTTCATCTTTTCTCTTCCAGTAACTTCCAACACTAATTAGTGGTTGCTTGCAGCTTTGTTGGAAGCGAAGATAATTTTCATCAGCTTTGTTGGAAGCAAACTAAGATGTTTAAAAAAAAACAAAAAAAAACCTTCTCAAGACAGCCTCTTTTTAGATGAAATTTCTGATCAAATTGACCAGGCCCTTTCTTTTTATCCCTCTAGGCATTACTATTGTTATTGGTGACTAACTCATTTAGTGTGATGTTTATCACACTGAATGAGTTAGCTCTTACACCAGTGATCCTGCTGGCACTAAACCTCATAAGCTCTGCAGTTCTCAATTTCTTACTCAAGTAGTTAACTTTGCGACTCGTTTTCCAGACAACCCTAACCACTTACCGTCACTCCTTGATTTGTGACTTGTCTCTGATCCTAGCTTATATTTTTCCTTATTCTTTCTTTTAGGTGATTCCGACTATGCAATGATCTCTATAAATCTTTCATCTTGTACTTCTTTGTCACACTCAAACTATTATCACAATACTTACTTCTACCCTAAAGCTGACTGAGATTTTTTGATAGTCGTTGGGCTGATGTCTTTTGGTTTCTCTGCTGATAAATGTGCCTTCTACATAACCTCCTGGCCCAAGACAGATATGGAAGCTTTTACTCTTATTGGTCTCAAGTCAAATTCTTTTCCATGGTCATTCTTTTTCAAGTCAAATTCATTTCCATGGTTTTTGTGCAGCTGCTATTTCTAATCGTAATCATTTTTTTTAAAGAAAAAATGTTTTTTTTTAAATGCAACCTCACGAGGATGGGAGAGAGATGAGCCTCTCTTCCATCCTCGTAAGGTTGCATCTCTTTCTCTTTTATACAAATACTATCATGGTCATATCTGCTCAAAGAAACTATGCTATAATTAGATTTTTTTATAAATAATAATTAATAAACTATAATATAATTATAAACTATAATTATAACTATAATTAGAGACTATGGTCTCTAACTTCATCAACAAAAACTTGAAATCAACATCAACAAAATCTCATTCTTGCTTGAAATTCAGCAAAGTCTCATCATTTTATATATGGTATAAAAACTTATATTTATCTAGTTTTTTGCTTCGGAACTCTCTCCCTTCTTTATGTTTTCCTGATTAATATAACTCTTCTGTCAACCGTTTTCATGCTTTTTAACACTGTTCTTTGTTAGCTAGTATCTTCCAATTTAATAGTGGTTGTTTGCAGCCATGCTGGGAGTGAATTAAATTAAAAATAAAAAACTTGTAAATAGCAACATACTGAATTTTTTTAATTTCTTAATTTACATTTCACATTGTTTTTAATGTTGACTTTTCCTGGAAACCATATACTAAATCTGTTGCAATATCAACATTTTATTTAATAAATCAAGCATGAAACGAGACTGTTTCCCTTTATTCACTTCCATACTCCTGATTCTATTTTCTGCCTCAATAGATCTCTCATTCATTTTGATTGGAAAAAGTTTGTCACACTTTGCTGAGTTCAATAATGATCCCTTTGTTTTTTTACAAAGTGTGCAAAAACAAATTTTAAACATATTTGAGCCTGCACTTAACTTTGTCCCATCGTTGCAAGGTAGCATATTTCTTTCCTACAAATACTGTAACCTACTATTACTTATTATATAAATATCTCAATCTCATCATAATCTCTCTAAAAATTGTTTTTCTAGACAACCCATTACTAAGGTGGAGCACAGCTGATGCTACTCCAGTACATAGGGAAGTTTTTTCAACATCAATAAATTCTGCTTTTTAAATTCCTAAAATATGTTTGTCCAAACTATTGTTGTTCAACTAAATTTAAATAAATAACCCAGTTTTCTAATTGTATATGTAACAATATATTTTTAATTCATTGCTTAAATCTCACTTTTTTTTGAGGAATCAAACATCAGTAAGATTACATTTTCCAACAAATTAAAGTTCATAACAAAGTTAAAATCTGTCTCTAAATTTTAGTCTTGAATTTCTTTATCCACTTCTTTATTTAACTTTATGAGATAGCAGAATGTGTAGAACTTTCAATAAAGAGATTTTTTTATGTTTTTTTATGATTTTTTGTGGTTTAATTTATTGCTAACTCACATATGAACAGAATAAACCAACTGTTGCTAAGAGAAAAAATTAAACACATCTCACACATTCTAAGCAAACTTTGTTGTGTAAAACACCTTTTTTATTACACCAACCAGAAATTAAACTAACTTGTTGAATAATAAATTTTCGAAAAAAAAAATTCTTTTTTTAGTGTGCTACCAAGTTAAACTTTATTTAAATCAAATTTGATCACATTTGATGATGATCTCATTTGAACGCTAATAGCAACACTTTATATCTTAAAGTTTTTTTAAAAAAATTATAGTTAAAATGAAATTTAAACTTTGAATAACAAAAAATAAAACTTTTTTGCTATTAATTAAAAAGCGTTTACTTGATAGAAAAAAATGTTTACTCTGTAAAAAATTAAAAATTGCTTACTTAGCAGAATACATAAGAGTTGCTGCCAGAGCATTTCCTGAACCAGTTGGCAAAATAGAGACAGGAACTTTTAGTACTTCATTCCAATCACATCTTTCAAACAATCCATTAAAGTACTATTTAAAAATGAGTATAAAGAAATTCCTGATTTTAAATTATAAAAAAACAAACTAATTATTTCCTTATGAGAACTAATAGAAAATTTTAAAAATAATAAAGTCAATGCTTATATTAATATAATAATTTAAAGTCAAAAAGACTTCAATTTTTAAAATGTCAACTTAACAGCTTTTTGAATTTAAATTAATTTCTGTTTGCTGTGGTTAATTTTTCTCTTCCATGAGTTTTTTAGGCACTTGTATGTTGGAAGTTTCCATTTTAAACACTGCAAATAACACTTATAAATAAAAAGAGAATCACACAAGAAACATCAATGTTAAACAATTATAGTGGTTCAAACAAATGCAACTTAATGGACATTTTATTTCATTTTTTAAACAAAAAAATAAATAAATGCGACTATTGCTGTTTTAAACAAAACCCGTTTTTTTGGCAGTCAATTTAAAGGACATAGAATTTTTTAAAAACTTTTAACAAGTATTATATTGCATAGACTTCCAAAGATAAAAATAACATTAAAAAGTTTTATATTAAAAAGAACTTTTTGATTTTCAATCCAAGGTCTTCAATTAAAATAGGTAAAAATGATGATGAAAATTATTAATTATTATTTAAATAAATTATTTAACCAATCAGAAAAAGCTACTCTCAGATGCTTAATACACAGTAGGGGACGTTAATTAATTTTCAGAAATTTTTTCCCACCCACCACATGCCGTCCTGTTTATTAATCTTTACTTTTTATTAACAAAAAAACAACATCTCATAACTAAAAAAAAATCCAAAATTATATATCATTCGCTGGTAAAAATAAAAGTGTAATCAAGTTTTAATTGTCAACTTTGAAAAATTTTGTAAATTTGATTTGTCAAAATTTAGATTTTCGTTTATTTCTCACCATAGTATGAAACTTATGTAAGCATATTAAATACTATTGAAACAGCTGTTAAAAATGCGCATTTGACCGCAAAGCCATACTAGAATTAAACTGTTTGTTTGTGCTCTGTAAAGAATTCCCAACCAACCTGTTATTAAGACCACCCCCCTCCCCCCCCCCGTTTATAAGAACTGGAATAAAATTCTCATTCTCAACCTTTTATTTCCACCGCCTCCCCTCTTGTATTAGGCATTCTAATATTCACCATCTTAGGTGGATGATAAAAAAAGTGCATTGCCTTAAGGTCTATGTTAAAAAAAAAAAAAAAAAAAAAATTACAGCAAATAAACTATAAGATCTTCATTATAACTTCAATTATTTTTACTGCGTAATACACATTAATAAATAGGTAACAGATATTAAGAAGACATCTAAGATATTTGAGTAAAAACTTGATAAGATTTATTTTCAAGAATATTTTCTTAGTACCAAGTTATGTGAAAAAAACTTTTGCTTTAAAAACAATAAAAACATTTTTCAGAAGTATTGGTTCAAAAATAGATTAAACATTCGTTCTCTTTTTGCTGATAGCAATGCCAAATTTGCCCATTTTTTCACCATGAGACTCAGTATTTATACCTTTGTTTCACTTTGTTTAAAAATATGTAGCTATTGTAAAATAAAGTTTTTTCTTGAATGTTTCTAACACTAAACTGTTATTAAAGATGAGTTTCATTTTTACATTGTAATATAACTTTATAGTGTATTTATACTAATATTGTAGAAGGGTGATTTTTTAAACAAACATTCAGCTGTTAAATTTTATTTTTATAACTAAAATAACAAAAAAAAAAAATTTTTTTTTAAGTTAATCATACATTCAACGTTTTTTTATCTTTATTCTCTTTTATTTGGTTAATAACAACAACTAACCATCTTTATTTATCCCTGTATTTATTCTAACTAGAATTGCAATTGATCAAAAAAGGACGAGACTTAATTAAATGACGAGTAACACGAGAATGAATTTTAGTAGATGGCACAAGAGACGCTAGCTCTTTAGAGCAGTGCTGCTATAGTATTTGTAGATAAGAGAAAGAGTAGTAAAATGATGACAATGTAATAATGGTTGGAGGATGGATGCAAGAGCAGGTCCATCTATGTTTTCAATGCGCTTTTGCACCTTGTCTAAAAGAGAAAGAGCATGATTCAAAGATCCAACCCAGATAAAGCAACAGTACTCCTTACAAGGACGGTGTTGCAATTAAAGGATATAAAGAATAGAATCCTAAATAAAAAAGGTGAAAAGGACAATAAAGAGATGCAACCTTAGCAGATGGTAATTTTACAATCAATTTGATATATGACTTCTGAGAATTTTTTTTTTTTTTTAAACATCTTTGGTTCCAACAAGGCTACAAGCAACTATTGTTAATTAGTGTTAGAAGTTACTGGAAGAGAAAAGATGAAGATTGTAGAGCAAGATATAACTAAAATGAACAAGCATGGGAACAATGCTTTCTAAACAAGGACTGAACAAGCATGGGAACGATGGCTTCTAAAACCGCTAATGGATGTTGCTTGGTGAAAAATAAAGTAAAGGAGCTATTGCATATGCAAAAACTGATGAAATTTTCCAAAAAAAAGTGCAGGAATTAAAAGAGTTGCAAGATCATCATGATCATCCTGCTACTGGTAACATGTAACCCAGTGCAACCTGTTCCATGTTCTGCTGCCTTGCAGGATTTGCTATCTAAGCAAAAGCTGGAAGGAGTGTTCTTTCTGTCATCAGTACTATCTTATATCAGTCATGCCTATAGTATTTTTTTTTTTTTTTTTTCCATATAGTTGGAGGTGCCTTAGTTACTGTATTAGCTCACCTGTAATCTACGTTATATGTTCTTTATGTATGCCTGTGTTCTGTCTGAACCTCTGGCGCGGTGTTCGCTCACCCGTAAGTTACTTTATGTTCTTTATGTATGCCTGTGTTCTGTCTGAACCTCTGGCGCGGTGTTCGCTCACCCGTAAGTTACTTTATTTTTATGTTTATGTTTATGTTTTTTATGTTTTTTTATGTATGTTTGTGTTCTGTCTGAACCTCTGGTGCGGTGTTGATTCACCCGTAAGTTGATTTATGTTTTTTATGTATGCTTGTGTTCTGTCTGAACCTCTGGTGCGGTGTTGATTCACCCGTAAGTTGATTTATGTTTGTTTGTGTTCTGTTTATACTCTAATGCAGCATGAGCTAAGTAACTAACTACTTACTCCGACTACAAAACCTACACTCACCTTAGACTCCTGTATTTTGTTAGTTGCAGTGTTTTTCCTAATGCACTTCCAAAATGTCATGCCTGATTTTCTCAAAGTACTGTTGCGGGAAGTAACTCCTTTTAACTACTCCAGGTCAGGTCAGGATAATCGAGATCAATCTTGCTACTGGTATCACGTACCCAGTACCACCTGCCACAAGCCCTGCTGCCTTGCAGAGTGTGCTCTTCTTATGCAAAGGCTAGGAGAAATAAACTCCGACTAAAAATTCCCCTGCCTTGGAGCTCTTGGTTGAGTAAAGGCTAGAGATGGTGTCTCGATAAAATCACTCAACTTGGGCAGATGTTAACTGCATCCAGCTAAACATCCCCTGCCTTAGGGCTCTTGGTTGAGTAAAGGCTAGAGATGGTGCCTCGACAAAAATACTCATCTTGGGCAGATGTTAACTGCATCCAGCTAAACATCCCCTGCCTTGGGGCTCTTGGTTAAGTAAAGGCTAGAGATGGTGTCTCGATAAAAATACTCATCTTGGGCAGATGTTAACTGCATCCTGCTACTGTCTTGTAGAAGGCCTCCTAGGCAAAGACTTTAGGGGTAAGCAGAAAAATTCTGCTAACCAGCCTCGAACCCCTTCTTCATCTATTAGGCTGGCGTAGATGCAATCTGTGTTAAATTGTTTCCTGCCTAGGATGATGAATGCTGGATCTCCTTGACTCTACTCATAGAATTTTGCTTATGCCTCCTTGATAATGACTATGCACCTCTTCCTGTTATCTCCATATGAGGGTACAGCTCTAAAACTCAGTTTAATGGTTCTGAGGCCGGCTGGTAGTAAGGTTTCCCGAACTCTGTGGTAGCTCTCAGAGAGGCTGATTCCATCAACAGCTGCAAAATATCAGAGTATTAACAGTGCCATGTTGCGCATGGATGGTGTCCCTGTTAATGCTTTTGGTGTGCATTGTCAAGGCCACATAAGGAGCCCTATGTCACGGCTTAAGGTTAATTAACAGGACTGAGACAACTGCATAGCTCATTGATTAGGAGGCTGTGCTCTATCTATAAATGAGTCTAGTTCTCATTAAACCCAAAACATGACCAAAGTAACCAAAAATTTAAAACCTAAAAAACCATCCCCACCACCTGAATATTTTAATATATCTTTTACAAATATTCGCGGTCTACGAAGCAACTTTCCATCAGTTGAGTCTTACCTCCTGCAAAATTCACCAGACTTGCTTGCACTCAGTGAAACAAATTTAAGTTCTGCAATTCCTTCTTCAGATGTCAGTGTTGATGGGTACTATCCTTTGATTCGTAAAGACTCCAATAGTCACATGCTAGGTTTAGGGGTATACATACGCATTAATTCCCCTATTTGTCATGAAATCAGGTTCGAATCCTTTGACCATTCTTTTATGTGCTTTCGCCTAGCACCTCTTCACTCTATCACCTTTCTCTTTGTTCTTTATCGTTCTCCTTCTTCCCATGATTGCACTCTTTTAGATGTTATCTCCGATCAAATTGACCATGCCCTCTCTCTTTACCCCTCTGCCAATATTGTTGTTGTTGGTGATTTTAATGCCCATCACACTGAATGGCTTGGCTCTAACACCACTGATCCTGCTGGCACTAAAGCCTTTAACTTCTGTGTTTTGCAATCTCTTACTCAGATAGTTAACTTTGTGACTCGTTTTCCTGACAACCCTAATCATTTACCTTCACTCCTTGACTTATGTCTTGTCTCTGACCCTAGCTTATGTTCAGTTTCTCCCTTTTCTCCCTTAGGTGGTTCTGACCATGCAATGATCTATATAAATCTTTCTTCTCATACTTCTTTTTTGGGCTCACCTT